TGATTTACCTATAAAAGCCTCGAGTTTACCTTTTTTTATACTTGATTAATACTCAATTGTGTAAAAATACAACTTTTTTATCCATTCTTCATTTGATGGGCATTTGGTTTGCTTCCAAGATTTAGCTATGACAAATTGGGCTGCTATAAACATGGGTGCGCATCTATCACTACGGTATTTTTAGTTCTGTTGGAAAAATACTTAGGAGGGGTTGAATGGGGACTTCTAATCCTAGCTTTTTGAGGAATCTCCACATTGATTTCCATAGTGGTTGTGCCAGTCTGCACTCCTACCAACAGTGGAGAAGGGTTCCTTTTTGCCCACAGCCCCGCCAGCATTTGTTATTGGTTGCCTTCTTGAGGATAGTCATTTTTTCCAGAGTAAGATGGAATCTCAGTCTTGTTTTAATTTGTACCTTTTTTTTTTTTTTTTTTTTGGTGGAACCGGGGATAGAACTCAGGTCCTTGCGCTTGCCAGGGAAGTGCTTATTCCACTGAGCCATCTCCCCAGCCCCTGTACCTCTTGTGATCAAAGATGCTGAACATTTTTTTCATATATTTATTTGCCATTTAATTTCATTTGCAAAGTGGATATGCATTTTAAAGGCTCATTCTTTAATGGGTCTTTGAATTTAGGATATTTTTTAATTCTTTATATGCTCTAGATAGAAGTCCTTTATCTGAGGGACAGTCAGCTAACATTTATTCCAAATTTGTGGGTTTTCTTTTTACTGTTAGTAATTTCTTTTGAAGTGCAGAAATTTTTAAAAAGATGAGATTCCAGTTGTTGAGTCTTTGAAGTATTCTGCTGTTTGGCTTTTTTCATGAATTCTCTACCTACCCTTATGTATTTAATATTTCTACTTTTTTCCCCCTCATGACTGTAGCTTTGTGCATGTTGGACATGGGTGTAATTTTAGCCTTTAGTATGTGGAAAACCAGTTTTTTCAGCACCATTTATTAAAGAGGCTTCCTCTCACATGGCATACTGTTTTCCATCCTTTGCCTTTCAGTCTATGAATTTTTTTTAGTTAAATGTTTTTTGTATGCAGCATATTGTTAGATTTTGTTTCTCTCTGCCAGTCTGTCTTTGGTGAATTGAGGTCATTTACATTGATGGCTATATGTGTTGGCTTATCTTTGTCATTTTTTTTTTCTTCCTACTATAGATTTCTTATTTTTCCCCTTTTTAACTGCTTGCTCTGCTTGGTGGCTCTTCTGTTGCTGTTCTTGAAGTTGTGGTCATTTTTGTCTTTCTAGATTATGTCAATACTCTTCGTACGGGTGACTCGGTGGTCATGAATTTCTTCAGTTCTTTGTAAAGGAAATTTTTTTTTTTCCGGAACCGGGAATTGAACTCAGACCTTTGCACTTGCCAGGAAAGTGCTTATTCCACTGAGCCATCTCCCCAGCCCCTATTTTATCTTTTTTTTTTTTTTTTTTTTTTGCAGAACCAGGGATTGAACTCAGGTCCTTGAACTTGCCAGGCAAGTGCTTATTCGACTGAGCTAGCTCACCGGCCCCCTCCATTAAATTTAACACATAGTTTTTGCAGGGTATATCATTCTGGGTAGGAAGTTGTTTTCTTTCAGGTTCTGACATCACTTCAAGCTCTTCCTGATTTTGCTTGCGTTGAAAACTCTTGATTCTTATGGTCTTTCCATTATAGGTGACGTTTCTTTCTCAAACAGCTTTTATTATGTTCCTTTGCTGAATTTCTAGGATCTTGATTACCATTATGTGGGTGTAGATTTAATTGTGGCTAACTGGAGTTTTCTATGCCTCACTTCTCTGTATGTCAGATTCTTCTCCCATGCTTGAGAAATTTTCTACTTCTACGAAGTCTTACGTCATTTGTGTTGACTGTTTCACTGATATCTATGAGTCTTATATTTTACTCTGCATCATCTTGCAGCTGTTATATTTCCTGGTTTTTATACTTAAGAGCTTTCCTTTCCCATTCCCTAGCTGTGGTACTAATCTCCAAGGTCTGAAATTCTATCTTCAGTTTCAGTTTTGCCAGCTTCCGATGCAATTCTTAATATCTTGGATGTTAAAATGTTTCATGCATTCTAGTTCTTCCCTGTATTGGTTCAATGTTTCCATCATTTTCCTATTCCCCATTGTTTTAATCTATGTCTAGATGCGCTGTGCAATTCTCTCATAATTGTTGCCATTTCATTTACCTGAGAGATTATTTCTGATCTGATTTCTTCTAGCCTGATGGGAGTTGCTTTACTTCAGTTCCAATTTCAGGTTTGTGACTTGCAAGTTCTATGATTTTGTCTCCTACACTTTTTCTGGGCAGGCTAGAGGTCTGAGATTGCCTTTTAGTAAAAGGCGAAAGATTTATACGATCTGAAGAGAAACCAGAGTATGAGATTGCCTTTTAGTCCTCTGACATTTTTGAAGCTCCAATATTCACCCAGACTCAGCAGCAACACGAGGAGAGGGGCACAGTGCAGGTGAGTGAGGCTCCCAAGGAGGGGGGAGGGCAGTGCAGACTCACCAAGGCCCCTGCAATGGTGGGACAGGCAGCCACAGATCAGCTAAGCTCCAGCACTGGTGGGCAGCAGCCTGTCATTCTGGTGTAAATACTGCTTGCCAGGTCATATCACTTACTGCTATACCTTCAAGAAAATGTTCGGGGTTTGTTTTTTTAAAAAAGGATAATAAATGAAAACAAGAAACAAGGAAAAAAATGTCATAGGACTGTCCTGCTACAACACTATATATGGTTAGATTTCTAAATTTCTGTGTAAAAATATGTAACTGTTTTTTTTTTCTTCATTCTGTGGGAATTTAACATATTAATGTTTGATGGAAAATACCAGTTCCATGTTATGTCTAAGATGTTTGATAATCAGACAGATAGTGAGGTTAAGCTCAAAAGCCTGTTACAGGATAATAACATTAAGCTTTTCTGGAGGGCTAACAACTTAAGTTTGCAAACCAAAAATTAGAGAAAAAGAAGGGCTACAAGGAAAGACAACATTTTGACCCTAGCCATTCAAGGTCAGTGAGGACTAAGGACATAAAAAACCTATACTGTAACATTCTGTAACTCAGTGATGTCCCAAATTTTCTGATCAAGGAGATTATGGGGCCACAGAGGAAAGTGATCAACAATGTATAATGCGCCTAAGGAGTCACCTAGAGAGAAAACATTCTCTCAGGCTTTCAGAAAGCAAATTGGTCAAGCAATGGCCGTGACTCATCCACATGGCTGACACAAAGGATCTGCAAACTGTGGTACAGGGCTTCAAATTAAATCCTGAGATCTGACTGACCATGTTGGATACAAGTTACCTTTCTGTTATATAGGTCTTGCTTTATCTTGTTCTTAACCATCCAGCAGAAAAGTATAAAAACAAGGTATAAAAAGTACAGGCTGGGGAGATGGCTCAGTAGAATAAGCGCTTGCCTGGCAAGCTCAAGGGCCTGAGTTCAATCCCCAGTTCCACCAAAAAAAAAAAAAAAGTAAAGCCCAATATCCTGAGCTGTAAAAGGCTTAAGTCAATAACTTCTAACATCGCCAGTCCTATAGATAACCCACTACTATTATGGACTACTGGACTATACTGGATTATTTTGCTGAATTCACACACCTACAATATTTAAATGGCAATGGAACACCCATCTATGACAAAACTAAACAAAAAAGGGAGATATAAATGAAGGACCATTTTGTGGTGAAATATATATACATACACACACAAACTAGGACATACAGCCACTTTCTCTTAATTCAATGAGATTTGTACTAATAGTGTTTGGAAAGGATATCATGTCTGCATCTTGTACTATGAAAAACTACTACGAAGACAACAATATGCAATGTATTAATTATTGTAACTAAACTGTTTTGAAACTGTCTCAT